CTTACTATGCCTGGAACATGCCTGGCTTGCTGTTCCCTCTGCCTTGAAAACTCCTAGTTGGCTAATTAACTCCACAAAGCTAACTCTTCTAAACGAGTTCAAGACCCTGTTTAAATCCCATCTTCTCAACCGGTCCCACGATGACCACACCAGTTAAAATTGCAAGCCCCACCATCAATCTAGTACTCTTGACCCCACTTCCTGCTTTTTTCCCAGAGAACTTACCACCTTCTAAACTGTGATACAATTTACTTGTTATGTTTATTGTTTGTTGCTGTTTCCTCTTACTAAAATGTAAGCACCATTAAGGCTGAGATTTTGCTCACTAAAGTCTCCCAAGCCTAAATAAAAGAGGGACTACAAAAAGTAGACACAAGTATCAATTTGTTGAATTAATGAACTGCTACAGAGTGGTCAAAGACAATGAAAATTTACAGCAAAAAGGTCATCATGTTTCTATCGCTCTAACCTCTATCCAGCTCTAACCCTGCCCATTTCTTCCAATATTTTCTAACTCAGTAATGGTTTTACCATTCATCCAGATGCTCAAGCCAAAAAAGATTGGAAATCATTCTAGATTTCTCACTCATCCAATTCCCCCACGGTCAATTTATTAGCAAAAGCTGTCAAAACCACCGCTATCTCTAGAACAGGATCCCTCTTTTCCACTCCCATTGCACTAGTTCAAACTTTTTCATTTCTAAACTAGACTATGAAGTCCACAACTGAGCTTTTTTGCTTTGATCTAACCAGGACTATTTAAAGGATTTTAGATAGATATGACAGAGTACGACAGACAGGAGAAAGCAAAGTGAAGAAGAATAGGATACTTGAAGGCAAGAAAAATGAAGTTTATTTTCACTTTCTTTCCTCCTATTCAATGCACCCTACTCATATACTTCAAGGTCCAGCTCAAATATTATCTCCACTTTTGAAGCCTTTCCCAGTTCCTTAAGGCAAAGTACATACGTTTTTTTTCTTCTTTGTACATAGCTCCATTAGAGCACTTTCTGTAACAATTATTTTTTCACATACGAGTTGCCCAATTGGACAGGAGTCTAATCTTATTCTAGCACAGGGCCTAGCACCAAAAATATCTGTTGAACAGATGAATGAACAACTTTTAGTCTAGAATTGGCAATTATAAAGAAGAAAACCTAAGCTTCAACAAAGGTAGGGATGCGAAGGACAAAAGAAATAGAAATTATCTAATTAACAAAGAGTCGATAAAAATATAAACTAAAGACCCAAAGGGGCAAAAAATAAAGGCTAAACATATGAGGCATTTCTGCCTAGTTAAGGGTACTAGCTAATACAGATCCCCATGAAAATAATTACCAGAGAAATAGATTATTTAGAATTTCATAGAGAAATGTGGAGGTGGAAGAAGGGCTAATCCAAAATAGCTCTTAAAAATAAAACATGTTCTCTCAGACAGGAACATTCAACTAGAAACAAATTAATTGTGTTCATAAAACACTCATGAAATGCAGACTGTTTTAATTAAGGAGAAAGCATTGTAAAACATATCAGTTCCCTCTAATCCCATCTTCTCCAAAGATACTCAAATATGTAGAATTCAATCATTAAAAAAACTAGCTCAAAAGGAGTCTCTCAAAAACCAGCAAAAGTATGTTAACAGAAGGAATAAAGTTATTAAAATTAAACTCTTAATACATTGAACTCAAGTGAAGTTTTAATTTTTCTTACAAAAGTCTACGTTTTACAGACCCGTACACTATTAAAAAGAAATGAAGAGCCTAGAAAAGCAATTTTTTATAACCAGGTACAGTTCTATGCTTGAGGGAAAATGTAAAAATATTCAAGATAATGCTTGCCTCGTGTATATTTCAATGTAAAATGGCTCAGTTACTTATACTTTGCAGGTTCACGACCAACCAAGGTAACACTAGAGCGGTCACTCTGAAGCTTTTTTGGGTCACAGACCCCACTGAGATTCCAATGAAAGCTATGGTCCTGTCCTACAGAAAAACATGCTAATATACATATATATCCAGCATTTTAAATAAGTCATGGCAGTCACACAGCCCTTGCTATTTATGACTTCCCAGACGTCCAAGAAACCCAGTTGTAGAACTGATGCTAATGAGTAGAAATAGCAAATGATGTAAGGCTCCTCAGAAAAGAAAATAAACCGTCAATAACAACTGGAAAGCTTTTTTCTCAGTGATTGAGGCAATCAAAAAACACTGATATAAAAATTCCCATTGGGGGGGCCGGCCCGGTGGCGCAAGCGGTTGGGTGCGCGCGCTCCGCTGGGGCGGCCCGGGGTTCGCTGGTTTGGATCCCGGGCGCGCACCGACGCACTGCTTGGCAAGCCATGCTGTGGCGGCGTCCCATATAAAGTGGAGGAAGATGGGCACAGATGTTGGCCCAGGGCCGTCTTCCTCAGCAAAAAAAGAGGAGGATTGGCGGATGTTAGCACAGTGCTGATCTCCTCACAAAAAAAAAAAAAAATTCCCATTGGCTGAATTTTATCAAGTGCTATACACCCAGGAAGAGCTATGCACATGCCTTAAACCTGAAACCTAAAGTGTTTAAAAATAAGATCTAATATTAATAATAGTAATAACAGCTAAGAGTTATTGAGCATTTAGTATGTACCAAATGTTGTTCTGTTTTAAATATATTCATATTTATACATAAATGTAAATAATTATTATCCCCATTCCACAAATAAGGAAATTAAAGCACAGAAAGGTGCAAAGAGAGTCAAGGAACAATGACATGAAACAGAAATGATTAATGAGATTAAGAAGCAAAAAATTCCCTTATAGTGTACACCACCTAATAGCAATTTAGACCTGCATTTGTATTATCACAGATCTACAAAGCAAGAACATATTGTCCAAACTCCGGAAGAAGGATGACAATCTTGATATTTTCCATATCCCTGCCAAGATAATCCTTATAATACCATATTCACTTTGGCGTACATTGTAACCAGAAATGTGAACACAAAATGTTCAAAAAGAGCACGACACTAACTAAAGGATTTACAAGATTAAAAATGGAAGATTAATTTTGAGGATAACAAACCTTAGCTTTCTAAATCACTATCTTTTGTATAAGTACCAGTGAATAAACCATGCTTTGGAAAAATCAGCAACTTAATAAGAGGTTAAATCTGAAATAGGGTACCTTTTTCTACAAAGGAAGTTCAAATTTCCCTACCTCAAACTTTTTTTTCAAGGCTCTGCCTCCTTTTTACCATCTTGGTGCCATGCCTCTTCCACTCCAGGGACAACCACCAAAGTAGAGAAAACCTCACAGGTTCAACAGGTCTTATTAAATCCCATCAATCACAAGACAAATTTCAGACTCCTTGAATGTGCCTATGCTATGCCCTGCACAATGTAGCATACAATAAATATTTGCTGAATGGTTGAATCTTCTCCAGGAGAAAACGCATGTGTTTAACATTTTCTACCCCCCATACTACTACACTACAAATTATTATAGCATCAGAATAACACAATAAAACAAATCTTTCACCTTAAACCACATGACAGAAAAGTTATAATTGACCATTTTGTTAGATTCTACATTCACAGAGGAGAAACAGAAAAAGACTAACTTGTTTAAGATTAGTTTACGCAGCTATTGGTAATCCAAGAACCACCACAAAAAATGTATCTGAACATATTCCTTTTTTTAAAACAATGTCATTCTTGGGCCGGCCCCATGGCTTAGCGGTTAAGTGCGCGCGCTCCGCTACTGGTGGCCCGGGTTTGGATCCCGGGCGCGCACCGACGCACCGCTTCTTCGGCCATGCTGAGGCTGCGTCCCACATACAGCAACTAGAAGGATGGGCAACTATGACATACAACTATCTCCTCAGGCTTTGGTGGGAAAACAAAAAAGGAGGAGGATTGGCAATAGATGTTAGCTCAGAGCTGGTCTTCCTCAGCAAAAAGAGGAGGATTAGCACGGATGTTAGCTCAGGGCAGATCTTC